TGCTGTTGATGCTGTTGATGCTGTTGATCAGTGCTGTTGATGCTGTTGATGCTGTTGATGCTGTTGATCAGTGCTGTTGATGCTGTTGATGCTGTTGATGCTGTTGATGCTGTTGATGCTGTTGATGCTGTTGATGCTGTTGATGCTGTTGGTGCTGTTGATGCTGTTGATGCTGTTGATCAGTGCTGTTGATGCTGTTGGTGCTGTTGGTGCTGTTGATGCTGTTGATGCTGTTGATGCTGTTGGTGCTGTTGATGCTGTTGATGCTGTTGATGCTGTTGATGCTGTTGATCAGTGGTGTTGATGCTGTTGATCAGTGCTGTTGATGCTGTTGATGCTGTTGATGCTGTTGATGCTGTTGATCAGTGGTGTTGATGCTGTTGATCAGTGCTGTTGATGCTGTTGATGCTGTTGATGCTGTTGATCAGTGCTGTTGATGCTGTTGATGCTGTTGATGCTGTTGATCAGTGCTGTTGATGCTGTTGATGCTGTTGATGCTGTTGATCAGTGCTGTTGATGCTGTTGATGCTGTTGATGCTGTTGATGCTGTTGATGCTGTTGATGCTGTTGATGCTGTTGATCAGTGCTGTTGATGCTGTTGATGCTGTTGATGCTGTTGATGCCGTTGATGCCGTTGATGCTGTTGATGCCATTGATGCTGTTGATGCTGTTGATGCTGTTGATGCTGTTGATGCTGTTGATGCTGTTGATGCTGTTGATGCTGTTGATGCTGTTGATGCTGTTGATGCTGTTGATGCTGTTGATGCTGTTGATGCTGTTGATGCCGTTGATGCTGTTGATGCCGTTGATGCCGTTGATGCCGTTGGTGCTGTTGATGCTGTTGATGCCGTTGATGCTGTTGATGCCGTTGATGCCGTTGGTGCTGTTGGTGCTGTTGATGCCATTGATGCTGTTGATGCTGTTGATGCTGTTGATGCCGTTGATGCTGTTGATGCCGTTGATGCCGTTGATGCCGTTGATGCTGTTGGTGCTGTTGATGCTGTTGATGCTGTTGATCAGTGCTGTTGATGCTGTTGATGCTGTTGATGCTGTTGATGCTGTTGATGCCGTTGATGCCGTTGATGCTGTTGATGCCGTTGATGCCATTGATGCTGTTGATGCTGTTGATGCTGTTGATGCTGTTGATGCTGTTGATGCTGTTGATGCTGTTGATGCTGTTGATGCTGTTGATGCTGTTGATGCCGTTGATGCTGTTGATGCCGTTGATGCCGTTGATGCCGTTGGTGCTGTTGATGCTGTTGATGCCGTTGATGCTGTTGATGCCGTTGATGCCGTTGGTGCTGTTGGTGCTGTTGATGCCATTGATGCTGTTGATGCTGTTGATGCTGTTGATGCCGTTGATGCCGTTGATGCTGTTGATGCTGTTGATGCCGTTGATGCCGTTGATGCTGTTGGTGCTGTTGGTGCTGTTGATGCTGTTGATGCCGTTGATGCCGTTGATGCTGTTGATGCTGTTGATGCTGTTGATGCCGTTGATGCCGTTGATGCCGTTGATGCCGTTGGTGCCGTTGGTGCCGTTGATGCTGTTGATGCTGTTGATGCTGTTGATGCTGTTGATGCCGTTGATGCCGTTGATGCCGTTGGTGCCGTTGGTGCCGTTGGTGCCGTTGATGCCGTTGATTCCGTTGATGCCGTTGATGCAGTTGGTGCCGTTGGTGCTGTTGATGCTGTTGATGCTGTTGGTGCTGTTGATGCTGTTGGTGCTGTTGGTGCTATTGGTGCTGTTTGTGCTGTTGATGCCGTTGATGCCGTTGATGCGGTTGATGCTGTTGGTGCTGTTGGTGCTGTTGGTGCTGTTGATGCTGTTGATGCTGTTGGTGCTGTTGGTGCTGTTGATGCTGTTGATGCTGTTGGTGCTGTTGGTGCTGTTGATGCCGTTGGTGCCGTTGGTGCCGTTGATGCTGTTGATGCCGTTGATTCCGTTGATGCCGTTGATGCTGTTGATGCCGTTGGTGCTGTTGGTGCTGTTGATGCTGTTGGTGCTGTTGGTGCTGTTGATGCCGTTGATGCCGTTGATGCCGTTGATGCCGTTGGTGTCGTTGATGCCGTTGATGCTGTTGATGCTGTTGGTGCTGTTGATGCTGTTGATGCTGTTGATGCTGTTGGTGCTGTTGATGCTGTTGATGCTGTTGGTGCTGTTGATGCTGTTGATGCTGTTGGTGCTGTTGGTGCTGTTGGTGCTGTTGATGCTGTTGATGCTGTTGATGCCGTGCGAGTGTGAATATTGCTGAGCGTGTAGAGTGGTTTCACATCAGTTTCTCATGTGACTAATTTGTGTAGAAAGTGATCATGACACTTGGACAGTGGAACCAACATGGCCCACATCACGTGACCCATATGCGCAGGGGAGGAGTGGAGTAGGAACCAACATGCCTGCCCTGTATGGTCATGTGATATATGTGAAACCACTCCATACAAGTACAAATACAGCAACGTGGTGGGCACTGGTTCATTGGACCCAGTGTTGCACTGTGGGTCACATTTCACTCAGTACAGTGCTGGCAAGTGAAATCCAGCCCTGGGAAAACCCCAATCCCGGGACTGTGCAACCCAAGCCCTGTGGACAGTGGACTGTGCAGTGAAATGTGCCTCTGTTCTACTCATCGGGTTGGATTTCATTTGTCATCACTGCATGTACAACTCCACTTGGTTCCTTGCTGTAAGAAGTGAACATGTTCAAGTATTACTTCCCTGTCTCCTTGCAACAGTCACTAAGACATCAGCTATCTTCTAATCAGCTCTCTTCTTCGATCACACCGACTGACGCGAGGGTAGCTCGACTGGAAGCGCCAAGCACAAGGGCAGAGAGTACCATTTCACAGAGAAGTGAAGACGAGAGTAAGCAAACAGTGGAGGCACAGAACAAGGTAAACTGATGCTTCTATACAGTATCTAGTCACACATAGCTTCTGAAAGAAATATATTTTGCTGCTGGCTTGCGAACGTACTGATTGATGTGTTTGTGAAAATTAATTGGTGTCCTTGAATCCTTTTCTGCTTTTGCTAATATAAATGAGCGAGGCCAAACACCACTAGCAAATAAATGTCAGGTGATCTACTTACATTGTGAATGTCTGACCTTCAGGGTAGTAGGAATTGAGTGATGTCTTGTTTCTTTGCTAGCCCTCCCTCCCCCTCTCCATGACCACCATCCGCCATGCAAACCAACGTCAGGTGCAAAACACGAATGAATCTCCTTGGTCAGCTGGTTTCCCTGTGCCCAAAGGCAGAAGGCGTCGATTCCTTGCAGTGTCAGGATTACAAGGCCAGCACTCTGAAGCCCAATCGGTGGGTCTACCATGCAACCCGTACGCGATTTTCATTTTGTGATGTATGGCATGCATCCTGGAGTTTTCTTTGTTTTGCTTCGGCGTACACCGTGCCCCTTAGATCATCGCCAGTCTTGAGTCTCAGCTAACAACTGCCGCAGAAGAAATAAGATCTCTCGTAAGTAATGTCATCTTGGCTTTGCAGTTATAGTGTTGGGGCATACTCTATGTAGACCATGATGAAAAGTGGTGCATACAAACATTGGTTTGAAAGTGCTGGCTCTGTGTTCTCCGTGTGTCTTGTTCACCGGGTGAAATATGCTGGGATTGAGAAAGCCCGGCTCCAAGTATGCCTAACGGCAGTTCAGGCAGTTCCTGGCCTTGTGGCATACCCGTGCAATATATAATGTTGCTGACCCATTCAGTTACAGCACACAGCATGATCCGCGTGCGGAATGGCAGTGTTTGGAGGATACTCTGCCTGTGCCTTTCCAGTGATGTTCTGTATTGGTATATTTGAGTAAAGGAAGCCCAGTAGAGAGGTTTCAACCCGCGTGATTTGTGCTCTTACGTGAAACTTGCGTTCACGTCGAACGTGATTTGACCTCAGCTCACGCCATGAACGGGAGTTTCGACGCCAGAATTTGCCACACCGACGTGAAATTTCGCGGTGTGGTGCAGAACAACGTGAAGCGAAACCTCTCTATTAGCCACAATTCCCTCTCTCTCTCTCTCTCTCTCTCTCTCTCTCTCTCTCTCTCTCTCTCTCTCTCTCTCTCTCTCTCTCTCTCTCTCTCTCTCTCTCTCTTCTCTCTCTCTCTCTCTCTCTCTCTCTCTCTCTCTCTCTCTCTCTCTCTCTCTCTCTCTCTCTCTCTCTCTCTCTCTCTCTCTCTCTCTCTCTCTCTCTCTCTCTCTCTCTCTCTCTCTCTCTCTCTCTCTCTCTCTCTCTCTCTCTTCTCTCTCTCTCTCTCTCTCTCTCTCTCTCTCTCTCTCTCTCTCTCTCTCTCTCTCTATCTCTCTATCTCTCTATCTCTCTCTCTCTCTATCTCACGATGCTGCTGATCGTGATAGGTATAGGCAGCTTGCTTATCAGTGTAGTTAGTTTTTCTTCTTCTTTTTTCTTTAAATATTCGACGAGGTGACAACAATTTATGGTAATAAGGAGGACGAGCTTTTTTCTTTCTTTCTGTTCTTTTGATGCTGCTGCCTTATGACACACATGGCGCCCCTACGATCAGAATGGCTATGGGTTATTCATACATACATACATACATACATACATACATACATACATACATACATACATACATACATACATACATACATACATACATACATACATACATACATACATACATACATACATACATACATACATACATACGTACATACATACGTCAGCCATCTTTTTGTACAAAGTACACGCTGGCAGTCACAATATCGAATGTTCTCATTGTGTTTGCCACAGCGAGAACAGTTCACAAAGCGTCTCAGAAAACAACGAGCCAAATCGGCGGAGCTTCGAACGGAGGCCGGAATAACGATTATGACCTTGAGGGAGGAGAATGTCCATCTCACCGCGGAGAATGAGCAACTAAAAAGTAGGTGATGTGACAGGATAATGGCATAGCCAGTGTGTTTGACTTATTTTGGTTTCTTTGGTGTGTTTAGATCATGCATGGAGTAATGTACATGACCGTGCATTGCATTTCTGTGTGCACATCATTCAATGTGCTGTGGGTAGCGGATAAGACATGCATTGTCATACCTGACCAGCAACAGGAATTCACGTAGACCTCTTAGTAAGGTTGTGTATGTGCTCGCTAAGTGTTTTTACAGATAAAGCCCAGACAGCATTCCTCGAAATCAGCTCCTGACCACCCTGTCTAGGTGTGAAGCATTCTATGTGATTTCGGTGTGAGCAGCGCTAGCTTGTTTATTCGTATACAGTAAATGACACTGCAATTATGTGGCTTGTTCCAGTGGCTGTGTTTAACGCCGCACTTTGTAAGCCCAACGCCTCACTTCAGGAAGTGGCAGAATTCCTGATGGGAAGCAGGTGGATGTGCCACTGCCAAGCATTGCGCCGACGCATTCAGTAACTGATACTGTACATTCTCTGTTTGTATGGCAGATGACGAGGCTGCGCAGCGAAAAGCAGGCAACCCGTGCCACACAGGGCCACGGTGATGAGGACGACGACAGCGACAGCGGCGCAGGCTATCTTGCCCTGGTCACAGAGCTCTCCAGTCAAGTGGAGCGCCTCACCACAGAGCTGAGGAAGGCGCAGAGGAAGATCAAGAGCCTTCAGCGGCCTCCGAGAGCACCAGCTGGTTCTACGCCCCTACTCCACGGTGATGCCATGGATACGATAAATCGGTGGGTCCGGGACGAGCCGGCATGATCAAAATGGCAGTGAGCAGTACACTGAGTAACCATGGCAACGTTCTGTCTCACTTTTAAAAACGGTGACTTATTACCTATATGTATGCAGCTGTGTAGACACTACAATGTGGACCACATACAGACTGATATGACCTCTTTCCTTGACAAACTATTTGATTGTTTACAGACACACAGGTATCTGCTTTCACTGCTGTAATGCCTGACATGATATTATACTATATAATACGGGTGTGACGCGCAGAGCCTTTTGTTGTGAGATTGGTATCGGCTGATCTTCGAAATGTAACTCTCGGCGCCAGAGCATATAACCTGTTTTATTCTGTTACTGGTGCTAGTGTGGTTGGATATAGAGACAGTTGGAACGATGAGCTAAGTTAGAAGTGTATGTACTGGAAGTGCACGTGCTTGTACTGTGTGCAATACACTCATTGGAGGTGAAACGTTATGTTCTTCTGGCTATAGTTGTCACGGGGACCTTACAACATATTTCCATATCTGATGCTTCGGCGATCTGGCTTACATGTACCTTCCATGTCTATAAGTTAGCAAGAGTACATCTGCTGGAGCTTACAGAAAGGCAGAAGAGAAAGAAAGAAAGGAGACAACGAGCTAGATCATTGTTGCAACGCTGCGTTTCATGATGCACATAGCGACGCTAAGGCAAGCCTCAGACAACTGATAACCTGTACATCATCTGGCTACAAACGTATATCCTGGCAAGTAGTAAAGTCATCTTGCTATACAGTTGCAAGTACATTTAGTTGTAAAGTCTACGCTGCGGACTGGTGAGCCATGCTAATGAAGCTGCATCTGCTTGCCTCTTCACTTTCCAACTATTACTTCCATCTCCGGAGTTCAGCAGACAGGAAATGTAACCGTGCTCTTGTCTAATCAGCCGATACAATCATGTCGTCTTAAAAACGGTTTGAAATGAGTACAGTTACATTCACGTGTGCAAGATCTCTCAGAGAAATACCATGGCAACGGTGAGGCTATCAACTGCTGTCTGAAGATACATGTACACTCAAAACAGAGACTGCCAAGTGCCAGCCACCTGGCATCCTCGTCATTGATATGACGACACAAGAAACAGGAAACAATGGCACACCAATCCCCAAGTACATGTACGGTATGTTTGGCAACTAAAAGACTCGCACAGGGCCCTCACTATCAACTGAAAACTCGGGATAACGTCCCTTTTCGCGTACTCTGGCTCAGGTACTAGGGAGGTTTAGTTCCCACGTAACGGAAACGCGTACGTGGGTGATCCACGTAAAGTGGATGAAGGGCACCCACGTTGCAATGTTGTGTTTAGTCACACGGAACAAACAAAAGCATAAAGCGAAAGGCCCAAACCTGGTCAAAGACGAAGCTACCCGGGCCTAAGAAGCTCATCGAATATTTTGATTTCGTGCTTCGGAAACTTCTTCAGCTGAGCACCCTCACAGCTTGCACAATGCGCTCCATTCTGATTTTCACCCACGTTCTGGCGGAACGTGGGTGAGCCTCCATACACGGCATGTCGTGAATCAGAAAACGTCTGTACGTGGGTCACTGAGTATCACGTGGTACACCCACGTAAAGTACCCACGGATTACGTGGGACTAAACCTCCCTACTGTTCTTTACGCCGCCGCACATGCCCATACTCCAGCGCCACCAAGAGGTGTAATATAATTATGCCTCACAGAAAGAAAACTATTCATCAGCAATGCAGGCAAGGCGAGATAACTCAACAAGCATCACGCATTCTGAGCTTATGTCGAAATGCCGTCAGGAGCCAAACTGCTACTAATCAAATAATACAGTTTCTTCTGAGACTAGTATACCAAGTTTATGTCGGTTCTCGAAAGTCACGCTCCCCTGCGTGAAGTCAGAATCTCCACCAGGAGGACTCCCCCGCCATGGTCCGACCGTGATCTATTCCAACTGAACAAGCGCAAGAATAGACTTCACCGAAAGTGGCTACGAGATAAGACTAACGTGCATCTACATGAGGAGTACAAGCGAGCCCGTGCAGAAGCCTCAAATGCTTACCAGCGAAAACTCAATCAGCATTTCCAACAGCAGTGTCGTGATCACTCCTCCAACCTGCGGATGATGTGGTCCGTGATCAACTCTGTCACTAGCCGTTCTCGTCAACATCATCAGCCAACGTGCGACATCACAGAAGTCTCGGATGCCTTCCACAGCATTGTACATGATCCGTCCCGTCCGGCGCAGCTCCAGATTCCCATTGGTCCACAGCCGCAAGGCTCAATGCTGACCTTCCAGTCAACCGCCCCAGATGAGGTCAAGCACCTCCTGGAACGGATAAATCCCTGCAAAGCCACAGGCAGTGATGGGATTCCTGGGTGTCTGCTACGTGCTTGCGCTGACCTGTTGGCTCCATCGCTTTCAGTGCTCTTCAGCTCATCGCTGAGGCATGGTGAAGTCCCTCTGGCTTTCAAACATGCTGTAATAAGCCCTCTCTTCAAAGCTGGCGATCTATCGGTAGCTGCAAATTATCGTCCTGTGTCGCTCCTGCCGATTGTATCCAAACTACTCGAGAAGATAGTCCAGAAGCAACTTGTTGCACATCTGGAGCGATCATGTGCCATACCACCGACTCAGTTTGCCTTCCGCCGTGAGCACTCCACAGAGGACGCCCTAGTTGTAGCAACAGATGCCATCTTAAAGGCCCGGGACGACAAGTTGACCACAGGCGTCTGCCTAATCGACATGTCAAAAGCCTTTGACAAGGTCAATCACAGCCGACTGGTCCGGGACCTATTCGATCTCGGCCTGGACAATGCCTCCCTTCGCTGGTTCTGCAGCTACTTAAGCGATCGAACCCAGCAAGTGCGCATTGGCCCCACCGACAATGACATGAGTGTTGCTGCTAAGTGCTCATCTGGTGTACCTCAGGGCTCGGTCCTAGGACCGATCATGTTTAGCATGTACACCCGTGATGTCCCCGCCATAGCCCATCCTGCTCCATCTCTGCAATTTGCCGATGACATTGCCGTGCACTGCCACAGAAAATCAGTGCTAGCCACATCAGCCTGCCTATCAGGGGCCGTCACCAACGTCGCTGACTGGCTCAAGCATCGATATCTGCTTCTAAATGACAAGAAGAGCCAGGTCCTGTCAATTGTACCACAACGCAATGCGGGTCAGCATGTCGCTGTCCGCTGCAACCAGACAGAGCTTCCCCTGAGCCCAACAGCAAGGTACCTCCGCGTGACCCTTGACGCCGCTGTGAAGTGGGACCCCCATGTTGACGCGATGGCGAAGAAAGTTGTGCAGAAGATTGGAGCATTGTGGCGGTCCCGCAGATGTCTGAGCCTCAGTAGTCGCATCCAGTATGTGAGGTCAGTCATCATGCCTGACCTCCTATATGGGTCTAACGCCTTCTCTTCCTCCCTCAAGGTTTCGCAGCTTGATCGCTTTCAGGTCCTGCAGAACCGAGCGGCGAGAGCGGTATACGGTTTGCCGCCTCACACCTCGGCTCAGCCTCTGCTCGAACGGATGTCCCTGTACAGAGTTCGCGAGTGCTACGCCCAGAAGCGGCTCGTCCTGGTGTGGCGCTGTGTCAATGGGAAAGCCAGCAGTGTCCTCCAGGACCTATTCTCACCATCAGCTGGCAGCACCACCCGGCACCAGGTTTCCAGGGGCCTCACTGTCCCCTCGGCACAGTCAGAAGCCGGCAGATCTCGCCTGGCCTTTCAGGCAGCCTTGGCCTGGAACGCTCTCCCAAGGAGTGTAAGGGAGATCAAGGCTGGCCAGCAATTTAAGCTTGCCTCCATCCCCTACACCTTGCAATGAATGCTCTGTCTGACTTTTCCCGTCCACACACCACGTCATTTACTCTTCTCTGCGTGCTTGTGCGCTTATGAACTCTTTGTGTTCCCTCTGTTGACGCTTCAAAATCGCTCTGTTGACGCTGCAAAATTGCTTATCATCTCCCTCCCTCCCCCCCCTCTCTCTCTCTCTCTCTCTCTCTCTCTCTCTCTCTCTCTCTCTCTCTCTCTCTCTCTCTCTCTCTCTCTCTCTCTCTCTCTCTCTCTCTCTCTCTCTCTCTCTCTCTCTCTCTCTCTCTCTCTCTCTCTCTCTCTCTCTCTCTCTCTCCCCGTAGCTCTCTCCCATTTGAAATTCGCTTCCATAGAATTGGGCATCATTGCCCGTTTGGCCTTGCGAAGTAAAATAAAAATCAACAGCAACAATACATTCAAGCCTTATCGTCAGGTGAAATATAGGCACTTTCCTTCCACTGTTTCTATCACCTGTCTACTGTACTTTTAATATCCATTGTCCTTGTTCATT